TCCCCCACTTTTTCTGATGCTCTGCTCTGCCGACTGTGCTGTCCTTCTCCAGCGATTGTTCTTCCCTGATGGTGTATCCGGAGTAAGCGAGCCGAAGTCTCACCATCCTCGCTGCTTTGAAGGAGTGTTCTGGTTGTGTTTCAGGAACTTCACCTGGCAGCTGGGAGGAGTGGTCACTTGTAAACCAACTAAAGGACTTTGCTTCCTTTAGTTCACACGCGTTTATTGAGCGCCTGCTACCTGCCAGGCACTAACAGATGGCAGGGCTATCCGGGCATCCAGAAATGTTCCCAGGCCTTAAGGAGTCATCCGGGAGACAGAGAGGAAAGTAAATCCACAATCCATCCACCTGGTGCGAACTGAGGTGAGGACAGGGTGCCCCAGCCAGGTAACTGAGATCTCATTATTTTAGAGAACTCGCTTGTCTGGTGAACCTGGAAGGTTAATCACCACCATCACTCACACACACACACACACACACACACACACACACACACACACACAGTGTTCCCTTACCGCTAAGGCTGAGCACAGGCCCACAACAGCCCTCATTTAGGGAGTAGATCCTCACTCTGTATAGGAAACCACCAGAGATGCTGCCATATAGAGCCCTCTCCCTTCTGGCAGGATCCCAACTTCATAATTAAGGTACTGTGGCAACAACTCCAAAGGGTTTCTTCAAAGGACCTCCCCTCACACACACACACACTGCACCCGTGCCTCTGCCATTCCTCCTACACTGGAAACTCCATTCAGTCTTTCCACACAGAAGATTTACCAATTAACCTCTAACAATAGTTATTTGAAACTTCTCAGATGTTGTGGTTTCATGCAGGCGGCTTTGCCAGCTGTAGGGTTCCATCTCCTCACCCAGAATGCCCACCCTCCCAGCCAATCACTGCCGAACTGGGCCCTTGGGAGCTACGGTGCATCAGATGTAGCCTCCTCACCCTCCTTCCCAGCTCACCTGGTGCCCAACCCCATGTCTCCTACCTGGGAAACTGAGGGACACAAGCCAAGTATTGAAAACTCCCCAGACAGCTCCTTGGCTTCCTACACTCCTCTAAGTGGGAACTAGCACAGTCAGAGCAGAGGGTGACTCCTCCCCATGTGGCCAGGCAGGGTGTCCACTGTGTGACGGCTCCACCTCATTCCTTGTCCCGTTTTTATCCTTGACCCTAAGGGGAGAATGTTGTCTGCAGCCAACAGTGGTGATGTAACAGTCTGATATAGATGCTAAATTAGCTTTGCCTCTTCTAGGAGGTCATTCTTTGGGATTGAGGAATATTTTGGAGTCTGGAAATAAAATGTCCTCACCAAAGAAGATAAGGAACTCATGGGAGGCATGGAGTCTAGTGTTGTTGTCATTCTTCTTCTTGGTATTCCTAGGACTCATGCAGAGCTGAGTACACGGGAAACACTCGGTGAAGACAGTGTAGTACTTAGTGGTTAAGAGTTCAGGTTCTGAAGACAGGTAGAGCTGGCCCCGATCCCAGCTTTGCTACTTGTCATCTGTGTGGCCTTGAGCAACATACTCACGTTGATGTTCTTTTGGTGGTATGAGGATTTACTCATTCATGTGACAAATGTTTATTAGAAGCTTAGAGCAGGATTGGTGGACAAAAGTGAGTGAAAAATAGGATGCTTTCAGATAGAGGTGGATGTAGAGCCAGCAGGATTGCTGATGGACTGGATGTGGAGGTAGGGGAAAGAATGGAGTCAAAGATGGTGCCTGGTTAGATGGGAAGTCCTAGGAGGAACATGTTTGCAGAGGGTTACCAGAAGTTCTCTTTCAAACATGGAACATGTTTGGGGTGGGAGAGGTGAGTACCAGAAGTTCTCCTTTGGACGTGGAAAACATAGCGAAGTTCTTCAGACACATCAAGTTTGAGATGTGTCTGCCAGGCAGTCCAGCCTGAGTCTGTGCTGAAGGCTGGAGGCAGCCATGTCGGCATCATCAGTGTAGTGTTGGCATTTAAAGACTCGGGGTGAAAAGAGATTCCCAGTGAGAGAGAGCCCATGGAGAAGAAAAGAAGGCCCAGCTGAGCCCCAGAGCACCCCTCATAGGACAGCAAGCAGAGAGGAAAGCACAGCAAGGGAGATGGAAAAGCATAGTGTGGTGTGGAGTGAAGGGAGAGTTTGCCAGGGTCAGGGGAGCAAGCAAGTGTGCAAAACAGCAACTAGATAGTGAGCAGCTTCCTTTGTCCTCAGAGATGGTCATGGAGAGTCTCTCAGACTGCTTACCAACATTTGTTCAACAAGCGCAAAGGAGAACGTGAAGAAAAATTAAATAAAGGAATTCCTCAGTGAGCCTACATTTTTAGTGGGTTTTTTTATCAGCCAAGAAAACGTTTTCAATAAGACAAGTTTCCAGATAGAAACTGTGTTCAGCTCAGAGCCATGAGGGAGCTGGGCAGCCACACCCGCGCAGACCTCCAAGGCATCACCTGTAGTTGCTCTGCCTCCATCAGCAAAGTCCAGCATCACAGCTCAGCTATTCCTCAACTTGCTAAGCTGAAAGTATATGACTGCCTCTCCTTGTAGAAAGTATCTGCAGTGGGCTAAAGACTTCCGGTGAGGGTGTCTCAGGGTGTTCATTTCACCTCCCAAGCCCTCGTGTCTTCTTTGGTGATGAGGGGTTTCCAGTGCACTTCACAGGCTCAACCCACCCCACCCGCTGGAGATTTAGAGATCAGCTTTCACAATCGATAGCAGAGATTCCAACCTAACGTGGGCTTTGTTACCCCCGCCATCCACGTCTCTTTCCCAAGTTCTGTAGTCAGGTATAAAGAAGAAGAGAGAGTTCTCAAAATGGCAGTCTCGAAGTTTTAGGGAAGTGTGGCTGATTCTAATTTTGTTTCTCATTTTGCATTGCTTTGGGTAGACCTCTCCATGGTACAGACTTTGTAGCTCCATGACCTCGGAAAATGAGGTGGTTTTTATGCAGGGATGAACCTTTCCAGCTTTGTGGGGTTGGCAGCACTTGTTAGCAGAGTGACTCACATTGGTACACCTTTGTTTGACTTTCAGCATCTTGTAGGCTGCTGGGTTGTCACTAGGCCAGTGAGCTCTGAAGCTTCTTTTCAGGTCCCCTGCTCGGGCTGGTTTTTCTGTTAATGTCACCTGCAGATAGCCGTCACTCGCTTACAGCTCCTCTTCCACCACCATCCTCCATTCGTCCTCATGCCCGTTTCACAAAACATGCCGCATTATGCACAGAAAACAAGACACATGATTTATGATACGTGACCAGCAAGTCATGAAAACAACTACCTTGTGTGGTTTTGTTTAGTACACCTCATATATGCTTTTTATACTCTGTATGCTTTTTAAAAGGAGCCCTAGTGGCACAGTGGATAAAGCAATCAATTGCTAACTGAAAGGTTGGTGGTTTGAAACCACTAGCGACTCTGCAGGAGAAAGGTGTGGCTGTTTGCTTCCACAGAGATTTATAGCCTTGAAAACCCTTTGGGGTCGCTGTGAGTCAGAATAACTCAATGGCAGTCGGTTTGGTTTTTTGGTATGCTTTTTAAATACGTATAGGTAGGTAGTATATGAATAACTGCGCAGAAACTAGCTTGGAAAAGAGCCTGAGGGAGAAGCTAAGTCGTATGCTAAGCATTTTCCTCCAGTCCGTGAGGCAGGCAGCCTGATGAGAGTGGGAGTGTTGGGATGTCATTCTGAATAGTCACTCTGAATGGAAGATCAGCTGAGTAGTAGAGGAAAGAGAAATGTTTTGCCACTGCTTGCAAGGGCAAGAACAAATCACAAATGCATTACAGGCTTTGTGTGAAATTCTCAAGGGGGAGAAGACTTGGGTTGGACCTTATGGTTCCATGCGGATAACCGTCTAATAACATCTTGCACCCAACACGTCGTCGACTACAAAGCACAAGAGGCAGCACGTGCAGTAGAAAGATGGAAGCATCAGCTTAGAAGGACCTGACGCAAGTTCCACTTCCACTGCTGATGAGCTGTAATAGCTCCAGACAAGCAGTCTTCCGTCTCTCTAAGCTTCGGTCTCCTCATCTGTAAAATAGGGACTACACCATCATTTTCTTCCTAAGAATGTTTGGTGGCCAAATATATTCATGTATGTGACTTTTCTTAACAAACCATAAAGCACCGTATCCATTATTAAAATGCTTTCCCAGACATGACCTTATTTAACCCCACAATAACTGAAATATCCCTGTTTTACAGATGGGGGTGCTGAGAATTGTGAGCTAGAAGACGTGGTGGATTACATTGACACTTTAAGAGCATAGCTCACCTAAAAAAATGATAGCAATGGAACAACCAGAATGCAATTAAAGAGAATGTTAACACGTTGTGAAAAATGTAACTAATGTCACTGAACAATTTGTGTAGAAATTGTCAAATGGGAACCTAGTTTTCTGTGTAAACTTTCACTGAAAAAACAAAATATTATTTTAAAAAATGATAGCAATTCTACTACTACTATTGAAATAAAGGAGAGGTTCTTAGGGAATAGTTGTAAGTGAAATAAGAGAACCTGGGATTGTCCTCTGTCCTGTCCCAGGTCCCTTGTACCCTGTCTGGATGACCACTTACTGAGAGAGGAAGATGGAACCTCAGCCCAGCAAGTAATGTCAGATGGTGGCAGTACCATCTTAAAGAAAGATTGTTCTGTGAACGCAAAGAGGTTCTTTTACAAAAGAGGCGAATACTTACTTTTCTAATTGCAGTGAGAATTTGTACTCCTACTTCTTTAAGTTGCCATTTGAGAACAATGCATACTCTGTTTTGTTTTTTAACACCTAAGTTCTGTGGAAAGAATAATGTTCTTGGAATGTCTTAATGTTAAACACTTCTCTAAGGGTTAATTTGTAAATACTATGACATGGTTTTGTTACATCATTCAGAGTATTCTGTGGTGGGAAGGGGGCTGGTACTCCCCTAAGTAAAAAAAAAAAAAAAAGAAAAAAATTTATTAATTGATTTCCTTTTTTTTTTTCTTTTTCTGCCTCTCATTTCAGAACGATTTGATCACCACTGTCCCTGGGTAGGCAACTGTGTGGGGAAAAGAAACTACAGATTTTTTTATATGTTTATTTTATCTCTGTCTTTTCTGACAGTCTTTATATTTGCATTCGTTATCACCCACGTCATTCTTCGTAAGTATGCTGGCGGAATCAGATTATGTATGTAACCACTGGCCGGACTTTAGTTTTATGATTTAATTTTGATTTAATATTTTGATCATTTCGGGCTTTCTCTGTCTTCTCTTTCCCCTTCTCCCTTTTCCTTTCCTCATTTCCAGCCTGTCCCCTTTTCCTTTCTCGCCTTCCTCCATCCCTTTTCACCCCTCCCTCTCTCCCTTCTCACTCCCACCCCCACCCCGTCCTTCAGTAGCAGTTTCCAGGGTCACAACTGGATCGGGTTTTTCTTTCACTAACAAGACTTTCTCCTGCACATACTTTTCCCTATTCAAATCGTCGTGGCTTCACTTTCCCTTCTACTGAAGGATCTCCTGGAAGAATAATCCCCACATACTGCACAAAACATAACATGCTGCTATGATACTCATTGAATAGAGGAAGTTTTTTTTAAATGTCATATCTACTTAAGCAGGAACAGTCACCCTCCCTAGAAAAAAAAATGTCAAGGGATAAAGACTGAGTTTTCGTACATGCAAGTCTGTATCTGTTAAAGACAGGCATTAATTTTTCCATTATATGCTCGAACAAGCATAAACTACCCCTAGCATATAAAGGAAGCAACTTACAGGTTAGAGTGGATATAAATGGTTTAAATATATACTTGCCGAAGTAAGTGGCATTTTTCATTCCCTATTCTGAAGGTCGTAACTCTGAATTTCTTTCATCTCTTGGCCATTTGCTTTCCTACGACAGGGAGTGATGAGAAGGGAGTGAACTGGCTTTGAACTATAAATTTAAGCCTTTACACCTCCATTTCAGTGCCGTTAGCAACGTGAAAGGCCAGCATTGCCCCTTGTCCATACTCCTGAAGTATAACCGCCCATTATCAAGTGCAGAGCCTCTTTCTGGAATGTTTCCAGAAGCGCCTGACAACATGCCTCACCTTCTCGTGTGGCAGTGCTAAAACCACAGATGGGGTTTCCAACTAAAGTAACTAAGGCTGAAGTTAGGGCTGCAGATTTCCCTTCCCTTCCCTTCTGATGGGGTTTGTATTGGGGGCTGGGGTAAGTGGGAGGTGTGGAATGCTTCGTATTAGTTCTTTTTGAATATGAGTCAAACCGGGACATTAAATGGACTATCCCAGATTTTCATGTGCATTTTGAATCCTGGTTCCCATTCTTTCTCACTACAGTCCTTTCAAGTGAATCTGACACAAATCTGCAATACATGGCTTGAGAGCCCTACCTGGGTGGGTTAGCAAGAAGACGACTCTGATTCGTCAGAGGCCTTTTCTAGACTCTCGGAGATTGATGCGCACGGCAGTTCTGCAGACACACCTTTTCTCTCTGTTGCCAGAATCACAAAGAGGCAGAAATGTGGCCAAGCCCCTCCTGTGTATTGAGACACAAAATAAGCAGAGAGAAAGCCTAGGGCAATACATTTTAGTGTTCAAAGAAGCAATTATTTTACACAACTATAGAAGAATAAGTCCTGATACTCCCTTGTACCTGTAGGCATAAACAATTGGTTTATACACACCGGGTCACTATGAGTTAGAATCGACTTGACGGTACCTAACAACAACGACACAGTACATCTTTGTGTCATCTTTAACAGTTTCAAAATGCCTTCATATATATGACCTCCTTACGTTTACGGCCTTGTCATTACATTCCGGATGTCAGGGGCTAGTTCTCACCTGCCCAGTCACACACGCAAACGCTGGGGACACACACTCACACCAGGAAGCCTGCATTGCCGCCTCAGCTGGGTTGTGATGTGCCTTGTACTTTCATCTTCCCTGAAGCGTCACTCACCCTGGCTCCAGCAAATCATAGTCACTGGGAGTTTATACTGATATAGTGTTAGTCCAGTCTTCTTCCAAAGAAAAAGTATTAAGAATTTATCTGCCTGTAAGTTATATATTGGACAGAATATTTTGAATTTTGAATATTTTGACATATTCAGATATTTGAATGTTTTGGGCAAAAGCAAATATTTTCCTTTCCTCTTGTTCTGTCCCCCGTAAGACAACCCCACCATCCCCACTGGGCTTTTTCTGTCCCCCATAAGACAACCCCACCATCCCTGCTGGGCTTGTTCTGTCCCCTGTAAGACAACCCCCCCATCTCCACTGGGCTTTTTCTGTCCCCTGTGAGACAACCCCCCCATCACCACTGGGCTTGTCCTGTCCCCTGTAAGACAACGCCCACATCTCCACTGGGCTTGTTCTGTCACCCATAAGACAACCCCACCATCCCTGCTGGGCTTGTTCTGTCCCCCATAAGACAACCCCCCCATCTCCACTGGGCTTG